GATGGACGCCAATTTTTTAGTCCATGAAATGGGCTATTTTTCTATTTTCCTTAATAATTGTCCTAGCGGGCTATAATTGCATTCGTTCGATTCCATAGACGACAAGGAACAATTTGTATATCTCAGAATTTCGGAAAAGTTCCTAGTTGTGCCGAAATATTCCCGGAAATGCCTTATTTCTCATAAAAATGACATTTTCAGTTGCAGCGACTCGCACGGAGTAGTGACGTCACGCGTAGCATTCTGTAGCCACCGCGCGCGCAATTCAAACGCGGAATAGTGCGTAAGTACGTGTTTCTCAAAATATCTTCAATGTTTCTAATTTATTACTTGAAAAGTAACTTTCTTATGCTAGTACTGGTTCTCTTAATAATGTAAGATAAATTTTTAATGTCGTTCTTACAAATTAAATGTATAAAAGCTTCAAAATGTTGTAACTGTATATTATGGCAACTTGAGGCTTTGGAATAAAATAGTATTACTGTAGAGATATTGTATAAGGTTGAACTTGTGTAAACGGCAATATAACGAGAGCCTATATAACAGAAGGAAGCTACATTATCAAATTTAAATTGTGAAAGAAAATAAATGTGTTCTTGTTAATTATAGCAGTCTCTAACATTATTAAAATTTAACAAAATAAAAAATAAATAAAATGAAATTGTTATAAACAAAATTAGATAATAATTAAGTAAAATACTTTCCCAACTTGTTACGGGACTGCAAATTTCCTGTTTGTTCGGTCTCCCAGGTAATTCCCTAGCGAAACGAAAAGAATCGCATCCGGTGGCCACGTGCAACCCCGCGGGTCCTTTCCACCCCGAACCCTTGAACGAAGGGCGCGAAACCCTCGGGCACGCGCTGCTGAAATTATAGCGCCATGTGGCACCGGTCACGGTTCGTTTGATACGCAAATTCTGAAAAAGTTTACTAAAATTGGATTTTTAATTCGCCTATTTCTAGTTTAATTTTACTCGATGAACTTCCTGCAGCGTCATCGGGGCTGATACTTCTCTCCCCTTTTTTTAATTGAACGTGTGATTAATGGTCGACGGATGTAACACCTGGTTCTTACTTTTATGGGGTCTATTGGACCCTAACAATTTTTATATTCTTATTTAGACTTGCAATTTTTAAATAATACAAAAATATGGAGAATGTTGAATAGTGGGTCGTTTTTTGGGGTTATGTTTATGCATACTTTTAAGTTATTTAAAAGAAGGTTAGGTTAGGTTAGAGTGTCTCTATGGGAAGATCTATGAGTCCCTAATAATTTTTATTGTTTTTTTGAATTGTTATTTAAACTTGCAATTTTTTTATAATACAAGAAGGTGTGGAGTGCTGGATACTGTTTTTCTTTTTGGGGTTATGTTTGTGGGTACTTTTAGGTTATGTGAGAGAAGGTTAGGTTAGGTTAGGGTGTCTCTATGGCTGATTCTAACAATATTTATGTTTTCATAAATTTTTATTTAAACTTGCAATTTTCAAATAAAATAAAAATGTGTAGATTGCTGAATACTGTCTCTTCTACTTAGGTTATGTTCATGGATACTTTTAAGTTATTAGGAGATAAGGTTAGTTAGGTTAGGGTGACTCTGTGGCGGAGTCTGTGAGACCCTAACAACTTTTGTATTTTTACAAATTTTTATTTAGACTTGCAATTTTTAAACGGTGTATATAATGCAGAAATACTGTCTTTCTTTTTGGGTCACGTTTATGGACACTTTGAGGTTCGATTAGATAAGGTTAGGTTAGGTTAGAGCGACTCTATGATGGAATCTATACGAACCTAACATTTTTATATTTTTAGCATTTGTTATTCTCTTTTTTTACACTCATTATTCATTTATTAATTAGTATAACTTTATGAACATTTTGTGGTTGGGTTAGGTGAGGTTAGGTTGGTGGAAATAACCTAACTAACTTCTGAATAAAATAAAAGTATATCATTCACAATACTGTTTCTTTTTAACTTTTTCTTTATTTATTAACTTCTTTATATTATTTTATTAATTTAAAAGGTGTTACATTTTTAAGAAAAGTTACGTAATGTTTAAAGTAACCTAACCTAATTTAACAATAACTAGTTAAGTAATAATGGTACTTATTAGTGTCCTTTTTTTTATTAAAATGATATACAATTTTTACTGATAAATCTAATTTCTAAAGTGGTTTTTTTTGTAACAATTACACTGTTAGTTGCCATAAAATATTAAGAGGCATTAAGCTTTAACGTCGTTAGCTGAAACGGGACAAGAGTTCGTAGAAAAGAAGGTTAGGACGTAACAAGACGGATTTGCATGCTTAATCAACTTATTCAAATTCTCTCTGATTTAATCCCACTTAAAGGATTTGTAAATTGCGAGTCGATTTAATTTCGCTACTTAACGAAGAACCTTCACTCTCGTTTCTCTTAAAGAATACATTGGTTGTATTCCTTTCAAACAAACACTTTCGTTAAACACTGGGAATTATGGGAATTTAGAGAATGTGGGAATTATAGGAATTTGTTGAAGTATCAAACGTTTATAGATTTATACTCTTCAATTTTTAGAGACTTAAAGAT